ATTAAGGAACATTATACCACGGGACATTTTAAAATTTTATAAATATTGTTATTAAGTAATATTATACCACGCGACAATTTTTGGTTTTATACATTTTTTTCTAAATGAGACTGATTTAATATGTCTAATATTGGTGGTATTAAAAAAAAAAGATTTAATCCGTATTGAAGCGGTGGATTAATGATATTTTAATCTTTTTATTATTGTTGATTCAAAAACCCGTCCTGCCAAACCCGTCTGGCCAAAAAACTCATTTATTTTATTAATGTTGATCTTATTTATGATATGATTCTGAATCATTGTCTAAATATTTTAATAGATGTAGAACGTTGAGCACACATTTTCGTCAACTAGATAATATATGTCCGTTTTTAAAATTTCGAATCACAGTATATGCAGAAAAAAATTGATTTTTTTTTTTACTTTATGTATTATATGATGATTCAAAACAGTTAAAAACAGATCAAACAAAGATGATAGAAGAATCATTATTCTAAATCTTAATCAAATCTTCTAAATATCTAAATTATTAAATATGGAATATCCGGTGTATGAGTTGTGTTAAATATAAACCGACCCAACAAATTTTTTGTGAAGGATTTGTTGAAACGGGTCGAATATCCAAATAACCCGAGAGCATTTTTACTCACCCGTTACCAAAGTGTTGCAAAAATACTAGTATAGATGTGAATAATTGTAAGAGATAAGCATGAATCATCAAACAAACAAGATTTTCACGTTTCTAAGGAAAAAAAGATTTTCTCTCTGCCTTTGGCAAACTGAGATTTCAATCTCATGGTTTGACATTTAAGGCTCATTATGATGTCAAATTTGGCAAAATCGAGAGAGAAGTCAAATTTATGTTCGAAATTCATTCATCCATCTTCGTTTTTCGACATCTCCGTTTCAATTGTTCTGCAACTTGATTTGAGACATCTCATTCAAGTCCAATATCCGGCGAAGAGCAAGTTATTGATTATCCGGCGAAGAGGCTAATTTCTGGAGAGTCATTGATTTCGCTTCATTATCAAGTAGAGAGATTAAAGTTAAATAGATTAAGAGATTTCTGGGAATTGGAAAAAATGATAGAGAATGGTTAGAAAGCAATTGTTATTCCGACGTAATTGACTTAACGTAACCATCGAACAATGAAACAAAACTTAAACTCTTTAGTTTTCAAACTTAAAATATGCTAGATTTACAAGATTTGTATGTAAAAAATATTCAAAACGTTAAAAAAATGAGATTCTGAGATAAAAATTAATGACGGCTGCAAATTTAGGGTTGCAGAAGTAGATACTCAGGTGGAAGATGACTGCAAAATTACAATTATACCCTGCAGCGAATTTCTTTTGTGTACGTATATACAATTTACGGTGTACGTAGCATTGATTATGTGGACGTGTTAATATTATACGTTAATTACGTACATGTGAAATAGTATACGTACATGTGAAATAGTATACGTACATGTGAAGTAGTATACGTACATGTATTGAATAATCAACTTTAATTACGTAAACCAATGATGCTTTATAAATCACGTACACGTTAATTAGTATACGTACACGTTTCTAATAATCAACTGAATTTTTATGCTAGCCCCACAGTAAGTTGAGTGTCACCAACATTCCTGACATATCCTATCCCATATTTCTCAACAAAAAATCAGTCCACTTGTTGTAATGTAATTTTCGCCATTACCTTTACTATTGTTCATAGTTGTCATCTTTATCGTCCTCTTTCTTCTCTTCGTCATCCTCATCTTCTTTATTTTCATCCTCTTTATCGCTCTCTATTTTTTCTTCCTCATCTACTTCTTCATTGTTTCCACCTCCGACCCATGGTTAGTTTCATCAGCAAGGTTATCCATCATGCACATACTATTCACACTTTCCTTAATGGGTTGGAAAAAATGATACAATTTACACTTAGATCGCTTCTATGAATAAAAAGAATGTTCCAAGCTCACTTGTTTGTGATAGTTTTACTTCTCTCCTCGCACGATCTCCTGGCACGACCCTTCACATGGTGGTAATAACACCATTCTCTCTGTCATGATCACTACCTCGTTTCTCACGTACACAGTATTACATGTTTACGTACATAGTCTCCAATGGATGTACTTGTGTTCGTTAACTTTCCTAATATGCATGTGTATGCACCTATTTACGCTAGTACATTATCTCAATAATGATATTTGTATCATCCTTAATATACATAGTCATCATGATAATTCGTACTAGCCCTAAGCATTAAAGTATTCGGTTTGGTTTACATGGGACTCCTTTGGTACAAGGTATTTAGAGTATAGGGATTTCCCGCCAAAAATTGTCCTTCCATATTGTACTATTTTACTTATGTCTTATCAGTTAGACATTGGTTAAATTGTCGAAGAAAAGAGAAAAATCATCATCGAGTCTCTTCGGCGTAGTGCTTAGCATTGTAGAAAAATAAATGTAAGACTCATTCACATTCACTAAATTGTACTTTGATTCAAGTAATATCCCCTTTGATGATCCGCCAATACCAAACCATTACCATGCACTTCACCTCTACCATGTCCATATGTATTTGTTTAGGTCAAATATTCACCTTCATATAATGTCTCGTCTACACAGTAATTAGTGTACTTACAATCTTCTAAATCATGTCTTACCTCCCAGTTAGGACTAAAAGATGGTTGAATGTCACCATCTTTTTAAAATCATCGATGATTTTTCTATCACATACATGTTCATTAGTGTACGTACACGTTTCTAGTATATGATATAGATTTTCCTATTAGTTTCATAGTCGGATGGTGTCACCATTTTTTCCGACATGTCCTATTAAATATTTATCAATAACAAAATCAGTCTACTTGTTATAATCGCAATTTTCATCATTACCGTCTATAGTCGGTTCTAAGACATTCTTCCCATCCACTTGATCCGTCATTGTCCTCGTCATCTTCATCGACGTTTTCGTCGTCCTCCTCATCCCCATCTTCCTCTTTTTTGTCATTTTATCATTCTTTTCAACATCTTTATTGTCATCTACTTCTTCTTTCTCGTCTACGTTCTTATTGTTTTTTTCATATTTGGAGCCTCTGATATGGTTTTTGTTGTGTTTTCACCTCTAACCAATGATTGGTTTCATCAACTTTGGCTTTCTACCATGCACACACTATTCACACCTTTTTCGAAGTGTTGGATAAAACGACACAAATATATTTACACTTGAATCTCCACTAAGAATAAAATAAAATGTATCCAATCTCATTTGATTGTCAATGTAGACATAGGGGCGTTTATGTTCAATCATCATCGACATTATTACCAGTATCCAATAATTAATTTTTGGATGAAATTTAGTAGACTTCAAGTTAAACACCACACATAACGTACACGTTAGATTCGTGTATGTCATATTTTCTTTAACACGTACATATCTACCATACTTTTCTTCCTCAACTAAAAAATCCATCGTCACCCTGATAATCATCATACCCATCACCATCTTCGGTGTCCTCCTCCTCTTCATCCTCATATGTTTTATCGTCTTGTACGTCGTTTTGTTTATCTACGGCCTCATTATTTGCATCTACATTTGAAGCCGTTACGACAGGATTTGGTGTCTTTGCACTCCCACACACACGGTTACTTTCAGCATCGTGGCCATCAGTCCTAGGGACATTATTCCCGAGTGCCTTGACGGTTGTAATGAAAAAGACAAACAAGTTGACACTAGGATCCCCACCACGAATCAAAAAGAAGGTATCCAGGCTCATTTGATTGTCAATGTAGACAGGAGGGCGTTTACTTTCTATCATCACTGACATCTTTCCCGGCATCCAGTAACTAATTATTGGATTGCATTCGGTGGACTTCAAACTGAAAACCTCGCATAATGTACGTACAAATTCCGTGTATGCCATGTTTTCCCTAACACGTACACAACGACCAAACCAGCCTTCTCATGGTTCAAATTTCCATTCTTCTTCTTTGCATCTCCACTCGCCCACCATAGTAAATACGAGAATATCCATTACCCACCTGCATCATAAATTCAGCAGAACCCCATTAAATGCAAATGAAAGCATGATTATATCTACAAAAAACAAAAAGAATTCCCAACTACACACTTATATACATAAATCTATCTCATTTAGCATTTTCAACTAAAAAAATTGGAAATAAAAATATTCTGTGTTTTTATATAAAAACAATGTTGATTTCGAACACAATCAAGACCCTAATGTGTTATAACAAAAAAAGTTCTTAACCAATTTGATTACTTACACGATCAATGCTTGTCTTGGCTCCAAACTTTGTAAATCAAGAAGATCAAAACTTCTCCAGCATCACATTCGTTCAGAATAATTTGTTTGTTTGATGGATCATGTTTGTCTCTTACAACTATTCACACATATAAACTAATATTAGAAAAAGTAATGATGACTTTTGCATTAATTGTGACATCAGTCATGTCTAAAATTTTTGGGCATTAAATCATGATGTCTCATTGTTTTTTAATCTTATTAATGCCCTTTTGTCACTGTACACCCGCAGAAATCAATTAAAAACGAAATATATTGCTTAACCGGAACAGTGTACGTAACTGAACCGCATAACTGAACCGTACAGTGAACAGTACATCGTTACGTTGGTAGGGGTAAAATGGTCAGATTTTGGCTAAATTGTCAAAACTTGAAAACCAATTCTCACTTTGCCAAAACATGAAATTAAAACATGGTCTTATGCCCTGTCATGCAATTTACCCTTTCTACAATACCCCTCCAAATAAATGCCTAATTCCGTAAATTTCTAAAACAATCGTCGTTCGGACAGAGAGAAAACCTAGATCTATAGCCGCCACTGCCTCTCCGCCGCACGAGGCTCTCGCCGGCGGTGTGAGAGGGCTTTGTTTTCCTCTTTCTTAGCTTTGTTTCTAGATTTCGTAGTTGGGTGACTTGATCTCCTCTTCTTCGGCCGTGCTGAGGAGTGGTTCACTTCGGAGAGAGATCTCGGCTCGCTGTCCTCTCCAGGAACCTGGTGGTGGCTCGAAGCAGATCCGTGCGGTCTTCTATGCAGCTTAGGGTGTCGGATCTGGGTCGATGGATGCGTTCCTCTGCTTCCCCTGTCCCTTCCGTCGGAACCCTAACTGGCCGGAATGAAGCGATTGAGTCGAGTCTTGAGTCTACTGGTTGTTGGGGAAGTTTCTGGGGTTGCCGGTAGCCGAGATTTGAGGCTATCCTCAAAGCCGACTATCTCAAGAATTTCCTCCATCTTCTGGTTTCAGTCCGGCTAAGGAGCAAGACAAAAAGGTATTTGCGAGGTGGCTTTCCCGGAAACGCACCGTGAGGTGAGGATATACTAATTTGTGTTCCATTTCCTTATCTTTTGGCGATTAGTATTCTGGTTAGGGTTTGTTTATCTCGGAGAAGCCTCTGGTCATGCTGGTCTTGTTTTGCGTCTCTGAGCCGGGTCAGTCGGACGGGTTGTCCGTTTTTGGTTTAAGACCGGAACAATGAAAACCCGGGGAATCCAAGCCTTTCTGATGATGCACCTCTGGGTGGTGATGCTATTGGGACAAGCTCTACATTCTGATCATAAGGGACTAATAGTTTGGATTTGCTTTGTATTTCAGTTTAGGTTTTGGTCTTCTCAGGTAAGTAGTTGTTCTTGTGTCATTAGGATCAATTTAGGTGGTTCAAGAGATGATTTCACTTTGAGTTGTGGAGTGTTATCTATCTCAATGTGGTTAAAAAATGCAATGGTTTCTCGATTAGGTAGCGTTGGATCCGCTAGTGTTTCAGGGTGACACTAAATCGAACCATTGCATTTGGTCCAATTCTATTGAGGTGAATGTTATGTACCTTGAATTTGGATGTAATCTTTTGGATAATGAATAGTTGAAATTGAGCCAAAAAAAAAAAAAAAAAATCCGTAAATTTCTCATAAAAGTATGGATTAGTTTTTTTTTTTTGGTGTGTTAAAAGTATGGATTAGTTTGCGGGAAAAAACCGTCATCTATTTTTTATTTGGCCGTTTAATACGTGTAGTTTTAAAATTGGAATAAAAATGCCTACTTTAATTGTTGTTGTCTTTTAAATACTTTGTTTTTAAAATTTTGGTAGATTCGTACCTCCGCGTTAACGGCCGTTAACGATGGTAACGGAATCGCTAACTAGGGTTAAAACTTAACCGTTTGTGTTTACGTATATATATACAATATCTTTTTAAACCTATACGAACGTATTGCTGTAGTCAAGTGGTAATATATGTGTTGAACTAACCACCCCGAACCAGGGATCTTCAGACGTTTATAATTTTTTTTTTTTTTTTTTTTTCTGACTTTGTCTTCTTCAATGCCTAAACAGAATCTTCACTTGAATCCTTCTCATATCAGCTCTCACCATCACTTCCGTCAGCCTTTCACCGGGGCTCCATCGCCGATTCCTCCCATTTCTCCTTACTCTCAGATCCCGACGACTTTACAACCTAGGCATTCTCGGTCTATGTCGCAACCATCGTCTTTCTTCTCCTTTGATTCATTGCCGCCGTCAAATCCGCCGGTTTCGGTGTCGGTGGAGGAAAACCCGGCGCCGGATTTAGCCCCTCTCTGCCTCCGTCACCGTTGACGATGTGTCATTCTTCTAGCTCTCGGAACGCCGAAGATGGGAGAATCGGTGAAGTCAAAAAAAAAAAAAAAAAAAAATTAAAACGTCGAAGAGGGACGGAAGGAGGATACGAACTCAGCCCCCAATGGTTTAATCATCACTCGTTTAACCACTTGACTAAGACAATATATTAGTATTATTTTGAAAAGAAATTATATATATATACGTAAACACAATGGGTTAAGTTTTAACTGCAGTTAGAATTCCGTTACCATCGTTAACGGCCGTTAACGCGGAGGTACGAATCTACTAAAATTTAAAAAACAAAGTATTTAAAAGACAACAATAATTAAAGTAGGTATTTTTATTCCAATTTTAAAACTACACATATTAAACGGACAAATAAAAAATAGATGGCGATTTTTTCGGGTTTTTTCCCATTAGTTTGCGTTGAAAATATGTCTAATTCTTTAAAATAAGAGAGCGTTAATTTGCTACATTTTATCATTATTCCCCTAAAAAGCTAATATTGTTTCCACTGATACATTTCTTTCGACATTGGTGTGCGACATAAAATATTAGTATTTTTTAAAGTTGGTCTATTTTGAAAGGATTAATTTTTTCTCTCAATTATACCTTAATCTATATAACCTCGCTTAAAATATATGTTAATCAATTTTCTAACTGGAACACATTGGTTTTATTTCAATGTATTCAGTGAACCTTTTTAGTTAATTCAGAACACAACAAGTTAACGATCATCTATTGCTTTTATATAAGAAACAGCTTAAGATCTCGAAGTTTATCATGGATCTCTTTAGTGCAAACGCTTATTGAGTAACAAACGATAGAAGTTGTGAAATAGTTAGTTACGCACAGTACCGGCCCAGATAAATATGAGGCCCCATACAATTTTTTTTTTTTTTTGGTTTTATCGATAATAATTAAAATTTGAGATCAACTCTTAAAAATTCAGAAACATGAGGCCTATTTTTGAAATAATAAATAGATAAAATTTAAAATTTGAGATAAAATCTAAAACTTTCTAAAAACTGAGGCCTACTTATGCAATAAAAAAACAAATTTGGGGCCTAATTTTGGTACTAAAAATCTTCAAAAATTTTGAGGCCCAATACCCATGTATCATTAAAATGGGTCGCGGGCCGGGCCTGGTTACGCATAAAGCTGCTGATTTTCAAGATTATCTTTAATCTCTCACATAACAACAAAACCAATGTGCATGTCATGTAGATGCCATGTCATTTCTTGGACATTAATCTATACTAGTATTTTTGTAACACTTTGTAATGGGTGGGTAAAAATGCTTCCGGGTATATCGGATACCGACCCGTTTTTAAAATTCTTCACTAAAAATTTTGTTAGGTCGGGTTATATTTAACTCAACTCAGACACCGGATATTCCATATTTAATAATTTAGATATTTACAAGATTTGATTAAGATTTATAATTATGATTCTCCTATCATCTTTGTTTGATTTGTTTTTAATTGTTTTGAATCATCATATAATACATAAAGTAAAAAAAAAAATCAATTTTTTAATAAATTGATTGCCCTGATTTACCGAGGGTTCCCCCTCTTCCGTTCGGGACCCCCCTGCCGGGGGGGCGGTTACCGGATGATGGGAAAAAAAAATCAATTTTTTTTCTGCATATACTGTGATTCGGAATTTTAAAAACAGACATATATTATCTAATTGACGAAAATGTGTGTTCAACGTTCTACATCGATTAAAATATTTAGACAATGATTCAGAATCATATCATATTAAGAACATTAATAAAATAAAGGAGTTTTTTGGCCGGACGGGTTTGGCGGAACGGGTTTTTGAATCAACAATAATAAAAAGATTAAAATATCATTAATCCGCCGCTTCAATACGGATTAAATCCTTATTTTTTTTAATACCACATATATTAGACATATTAAATCAGTCTCATTTAGAAAATATTGTATAAAACCAAAAATTGTCCCGCCATAAAATGTCTCGTGGTCTTAGAGGATGATATGATTTGTAAACTTTTATATATAATAAATAATCATTAAATTTTAAAATAAAAAAAAATCACGGGACGGGTTAAGAAATTATGGAACGGGTTATATTTCGGAAAGGATTTATATGGCAGACGAATTTGAATCAATATTTATATACCGCTTTAATAGGGTTTAATCCTCAGTTTATTAATAATTGTCTCGTGGACTTGTGGTATACCGTTATTTAATAACAATTGTAAACTATAATATAAATAAATATGTTATAAGAATATACAATTTACAAAATATTTTTATACTAACCTTAAAATTAAATCATCATGCGGTGTACCGTGGATTAAAATCTAGTTGTACTTATTTTATCTAATCTTTATCTTTAAATAATTCTACCATCAATTTATACCAAAGTTAATTAAGTTCCACCAGCATTGACTAGTAACACCTAAGCATTATCTGTTTAAGATCAATAAAAATAAGAAGAAAAAAAACTAGTATAACGAAATGAGATAATCGACTCTCATCACTCATCAGTACATATAACAATATTAATCGATATTAAAATCCTATACTATTATTTGAGAAGTACATTTTATAAGATACCCTTAACTAACATTTCTTTTTGTAAAAATTTACTTAAGAATGCCATTAGAGATAAAATTTCAAAGAGTAAATTAATTCATCTTATTAAGGATAAACAAATCAATTTATACAATTTAATTAATTTAATTTAATTATAAAAACAAAAATACATTATTATTATTATTTTTAAATGACCAATCAAAATGAATATATAAGATTTGATATCTAACTTACCTTATTAATTTGTTATTAATCATTATATTTCACCTCTCATCTTTATATGATTCTATTATTGTGAAACAAATAAATCATCATATCATTCATATAATAATAAAAAAAAGATTTTTTCCGCATATGCCATAATTTGAATTTTTAAAAACGAATATAAATTATTCAATTTATGAAAAAAAAATTTAACGAGTCAAAAATTTAGATTTAGATAATATTTTTCTTTTAAACAAAAATAAATTCATCAAAAATTCCGCCTGAATAACGGGTCAGAATTTGAGTAATTATATTCAATTTCATATATATTTTTAAAAATATATAATTTTATATACTATGATAAAATTTTAAATATTTTAATTTGGAATATTTAAAAATAGTTTTACTTGATATTTAAAAACAAATATCATCAATACTTAATAAATGAAAAAATTAAAGACTATACATACACTAATTTGGTTTTATTAAAACATATATATTTAAAAAATATTTATAATAGACGGTGGGTTAAATATAATATATTATACGATGAAATGAGTTATGATCCTTATAACTATTTGAATATTTATATTTAAGTTCATACAATTATTTTTAAAAAATTCTTAATTTTATATTCTACAATAAAAAATAAAAAAATATTTTAATTTGGAAAAATTTAAAAATAGTTTAATATAATATTTTAAAGAATATTATAAATATTTAATAAATCAAAAGATAAAAGTTATAAATACTCTAATTTCATTTTTCAAAGGATAATATTTAAAATATTTATAGCAAGTAGCAGGTTAAATATAATGTATTATATGATAAAAAGAGTTATGATCTTTATAACCGAAACCATGTTAAGATTATATGATGAGATGAGTTAAATAAGGTTTGACACCTCTAAATATTTAAAATTTTGATTCTATAAGTATATATGAAAATAATGAATGATGGATTGTGCAGACAATTTTTTTATTGGGATTCTAAAATAAAAATATAGGTATGCACGGATTGAATTTAATCTTATTATATACCAAAATATGTTTATTATATACGCAATTTTTTTTCACTTACTACTAGCATATATCAAATACATACGTTTTATTTTTAACCAAAAAACGTAAAAAACCATAAAAATCGAAATGTAACTAAACCGAATTACATACGGTTCTATATGGTTTCACTTTCTACAAAACGAAAAAAAAGATATTAAACCGAAAAAACCGTACCCCACCCCTAATATTTTGTCATCAAATAAAATAAAATAAAAAAATCCTTATATGTCATTATATTATGTAAAAAATTATTAAAATTATACTATAAAACAAACAATAATCCAACTTTATATAAATATTTAAAAATTAAAATTTCATCCGTGCTTCCAGCACGGGTTATGAATAAAATGATTCTAGATCACACGATATTATCCGTCACTATCAGTTCAACGTGTGAACGAGAATGCCAATATCAAACTCTAATTCTTCATATACTTTTGAGGGTATATACAAATTCATAATACAAGTGATAAAGTTTTTTGAGGTGAGGAGATCAAACATTAAAGGGAATTTTAACGAACCACCAAGCAATTTATGTGACAATGGAGAAATATCATTATTAAAAAAACTATTTATAATGAGATTTGAGATAACACAGGAGATCAAATTATAGTAGATGACATCACGAATCTTACGTCATCCAAAACATTCGACGGGATCTTAACGGATAAGAATTTGAAATATTCTGGCGAAAAAAAAAAAAAAGAATTTGAAATATTCTTGGCCTTAACTTATTTAATAATAAATATCTCTATAACGATAATAACAGGTTTGAAGGAGTCAAATAAAAAAACAAAAAACACATAAATAACTCTATTTAAAATAGAAAGAAAGTAATGAAAATCCATGTCACCCTTTGTCAATTTCTTCCCAACTTCTTTTCTTTTTGTTGGTTTATGGTCGGTTTGCGCCCATGATTTGGCAGCATACCGAACCGGTTTAGTTATGTCCTCATAACTCTCCATTAAACCATTCATGTCTTTTCGTATAGACATTAACCTGTTTCTATAAAAAGACATCAGTAGAAAGACATAAAAAACAATAAAAGTCTTTTGTGACAATTGATACAAAGAGAGTTCTAGAGAGAGAAAAACGTTTTAGCGAGAGAAAGCTTCGAGAGATCAACCGGAAAGGCACTTGAACGGTGGTTTGTGGTTGATTTCCGTTTGTGACTTCAACCCCGATCTCTGCGTCAATTCCCAGTCGATTCCGTGCCAAATACGTCAGTAAACCGGCCAAGGTATGTGTTCCGGTTTAACGCTTCCGCATAAAAGAATAACACTTTTCCCCACACCTTCTTGCCTAAGCTTTACCAATTAAAAAAATAAACAAAAAAAAAATCAGAGACTCACATTATATATATACATATACATTACACATAGTCAAAGACGAAGCTCATATCTCATAAAACTCACCAAAGCTTCTCTGATATGGTAACGAAGGAAGAGATGTTATTGGAAGAAAAGCTTGTGATCAACGAGCTGGAGCAAGGGAAAGAGTTAGCGAATCAGTTGATGAACAATTTGAAATTCCCTTCTTCTACAGAATTAGACATGAGTTTGATCTCTGGAATCCTCCGTTCTTACGAAAATGCAATTGTTATGTTGAGTCTTGATCAGAAAACTCTTAAGAGATCAAGCCCTGAGAGAATTGATCAGAGTAACAAGAAGAGGTAAAATTAAAGAGAGATCATTAAACTGTGTTTATGAGTTTTTCTGATTCTCTTTTCTTGTTGGATTCTTGATATGCAGAAGAACATCGGAAAAGAAGATGTCCGAGAAAGTTAAGATTTGTGTTGGAACAGGACAAGAAGGAACTTCTCTTGATGATGGTTATTGCTGGAGAAAATATGGCCAGAAAGATATTCATGGATCCAAGAACCCTAGGTAAATACTTCATTACAATCATCTTTCTAAGCAATTTTGTTGTTGTGTGGACATTGCCAAATTTTGAAAATTAATTTACTCTGTTTTGTTAATTCAGAGGATATTATAGATGTACACATCCATTCACACGAGGTTGTTTAGCGGTGAAGCAAGTCCAAAAATCAGATGCAGATCCTTCGTGTTACGAAGTCAAGTATTTAGAGACTCACACATGTAACGCCAATCTATCAACCACCAAATTATCTGTTTCTGTGCCTAAAGAAGAACCAAAAAGAGTACATGAGCTACATGTTACTGAGAAATCCGTAGATATAATCAAACATATGAAATCTGAAGAGAAGACGTTAAGTCTCGATGACTTGGAAAACAAGAAAGATATTTTCAGAACGTTTTCGTTTTCTTTTTTTTTTGAATTTGATGTTAAATTAAACTCAAAAAAGAAAATAACGTTTTTACATCTAGTGCAACTTTTTGTTGAAAAATTAATAGTGAAAGTGTTTTAGCTTATAAACTGATGTGGTCAAGGTCTTGATTGAAACCAAATTTGGAGGGCCTTTTCGTAGCATCGATCCCCAGTTGCTTTGATTGTTGATATTTGATTCCTAACTTGCTTGTCAATCCATCGGATTAAGCGAGAACCAGGATTCGGAGGTTCGCCATGAGTTCTTCCGTTTCTCTCCCGCCATACGGTATGAACTGTCACTTGGAGAAGATATCGAGCAATGAAACTCTCAATTCTATCCTGCCAATGACCAGAAACCGTAGCAATCAGAGCCGACCAGTTTGTAGAGAATCTTGCCTTGTAGATATTCTTGGCTAAGTTTTCCCACACTTCAGCTGCGAACCTACAAGAAAATAATAAATGGTCCCTTGTTTCAAAGTTGTTGTTGCAGAGTGTACACGTTGCTTGCAGCCCTCTGTTCCATTGGAGCATTCGATCCTTTGTAGAGAGCCTGTTTTGCACAGCAAGCCAAGCGCAGAAAGAATACTTCGGTGTTGCGTGCGCAAACCAAATTCCTTTGTACCATGGTACCTTATTTGAAACCGAACGTGTCTGTCTCCAAGTTTCTTTTGTGAGGAACTTGTCTTTGTAAGTATCGTTTACTCCCCTCCACAGTACCTTATCTTCTTCATCTACCCGGTTCTGTTTCTGCAACATAAGAGCCTCTTCTATTCGATTTAGAAGTGCTGCTCGATGTCGTCTTTGCCTCCGACCAGACCATGCGTCCAGGCCCGGCCCGCGACCCATTTTAATGATACATGGGTATTGGGCCTCAAAAATTTTGAAGATTTTTAGTACCAAAATTAGGCCCCAAATTTGTTTTTTTATTGCATAAGTAGGCCTCAGTTTTTAGAAAGTTTTAGATTTTATCTCAAATTTTAAATTTTATCTATTTATTATTTCAAAAATAGGCCTCATGTTTCTGAATTTTTAAGAGTTGATCTCAAATTTTAATTATTATCGATAAAACCCAAAAAAAAAAAAATTGTATGGGGCCTCATATTTATCTGGGCCGGTACTGCATGCGTCAGCCACAGTCATGTGCCTTCTAATACCGAGATCAATCATTCCCCGTTCTCTTACGACATCCAACAAAGGGCCCAAAGTTGACCAATTTTCATACCAAAATGACGTCGTTCTTCCATTCTTGACTTCCACTTTGCAAAAATACTTTGCATTGTCTCTGTACTTAAGTAACTTTGTCCACATCCAAGAGCCTCTGTTTGTGGTTGCTTTAATTGACCAGAACGTCTCCTTCTTAAGTAAATACCTCTCAATCCATTTGACCCATAGTGAGTTTGCATGGGAAGCGATCCTCCAGATTAACTTTAAACAACAAACATCATTTACCTCTTTCAAAGGTCTCAGCCCGAGTCCCCCCTCTATTTTCGGCTTGCAAACAGTGTCCCAACAGATTCTTGCTTTGTGTGGATTCAAATCTGGACCTGACCAGAGAAAAGCAGAACAAAGTTTGTCAATCTCTCGTATGCATTCTCTAGGCAGTCGAAAAGCAGCTAGCCAAAAGTTGCAGATGCTCCTCAGAACCGAAGTTATTAAGTTCAAGCGGCCTGCATAAGAGAGATATCGAGCAGTCCAAGAGCCTATTTTCTTCTTAATGTGCTCTAGCAGGGGATTGTAATCCATCGCGGTGAGCCGTTTGGTGACCAGCGGTAACCCCAGGTATCTTACCGGTAGTTGACCAACATCAAACCGATACCTATCCTTTATCTCCTGACTAGTTAAGTCTGAAACACCCGCTAAGTAGATCGTCGATTTCTCCATACTTATTTTAAGCCCTGATCGCTTAGCAAAAGCATCGAAAACTTCCACAATTCCTTCGACAGATCGCACCTTACCGTCAGAGAGAACCATGAGATCGTCTGCGAAGCTAAGATGTGTTAGACCAATTTCTTTACATCTCGGGTGGTAGCCATATTTTTTTGAACCAGCAGCTTTATCTAGCATCTTGGAGAGAACGTTTTCGTATCCCGAAACAGAGAATATATCCGAGTGGAAAAATCTGATGGACAATCTGTCTCCTACAACAACATCAGAATCTGGAATCACCAACGAGTTGTTATATGCCTCTTCTTCTTCTGTTTCTGTCGCGAATTCGCAGACGGCTGATTCATGTTTCTCTTCTTTGGAAAGTATTATCGATTTAAGTCATGTTTGGTCTTTGATGTAATAAATAGCTCTCATTTTGTTCTAGTAGAATTTTTAGTAGGTGGAAATATTACTATCTCTTCTTCGGAAAATGCCTCTCTCTTGATGATCTCTGTTTCTATCATTTGTAGTAGTCGACTATGATCCTGGTACTCTTTTTGTCGATTTTAAGTTGAGATTTGCCCGTATGTTACTGTCTAATCATTTTCAGAATTTATTGTGTATCGTTTCCGATTATTTGGAATAATTCAGTAGACTAATGATATCAAGCAGACGATAAGCAGGTTTAATTAAATCCTAAGGTTTCTTTCGTCATCCTAATCAAATCCTAAGGTTTTGTTATCACAAGGAATGTTGTTCTGGATGATTTTTCCTTAATGTATCTGTTAAGGTTTCAGATACCTTAATCTCTGTAACTTGAATCAAAGATAACAAATCGTTTCTCAACTCACAATCTCAGGTCGATAACACAGAGATCAGCATAGATCTCTCTTCAAGCACATCGCTCGACTAACACATTCAACATAAAAGCATAATCCCTTGAATACGAACAGAGTCTGTATTTAAAGAAGAAGAACTTCAATGGCAAAGCCTGTGATAGAGAAAGAGTCTTTGCCCTCATTTGCCAAGTCAGCTTAGTCAACACTTTCTTTCTTTGTTCTAAGCTCTTCTTTGATGTATATACACTTCCTTTCTTCTTTTCTTCTTTTCTTCCTTGAATCGTATCAGTATCCTAGTCTAGATGATTCACTAAATTTGAAGAACCTTGTGTTTTCAGATGCTTGTCTTGCATATTTAGCTACACAAGGTAAGGCACCAACATTTTTCTCCACTGTTGATATTATTTTCTGAGATTGCTTAGGATGTACTGGATGGTCTTCCTTCTTTGGTCATGTTCTTAGTCTTTCTTTTGCTTTTCCAACTGTTGCCAGTTAATGATAATGTGAAGGATCCTGATTCATCTTTGAAGGAATCACTGAAGTAAGTGTGATGCCTGAGAAATAAATAACTCCTTATGTGTTTCCCTCTTAGTCGTACATTAGCAAGTTTTCTTATGATTTAGGGGCAAACTATTTGACACAAGTGCTCCAAAGGCGTCAGAGCTTTCCAATGTTTATTTCCAATCCTTTACTAGTGTGATTTTGATTGTCGGTGAGTTTCATACGTCACTGGTATATGATGTTGGACTTTGTTGCATGCAGAAGATGAGTATGCAACACTAAAGACGGATTAATTGAACTTCAGGGCCTTCATTAACATTGGTAAAAGAAGAATATGATAGTCTTCCCTCTTTCATCAAGTCTCTCTAGCCTCGTGGGAGGTATGAAAATTATCCAAATTCTTGTATTATGTCAAATGTTCTTCTTCTTAGCTAACATTTAAGAACATATTCTAGCATAATATTAAGAATTGAACCAATAAATGCTTAACTCGAGAGCGATGAAAATTTCATCTTTCCTATATTCTCAACTTTTTGGATGCCATCAAAGTCATAACCTGTGTAAAACTGGTAAATTGCTATCCCCTGCAAGTCTGAACTTGCTGGCTGCCCACTTGTTTTCCGCTCTTTTAACTTTCAGAACCACTAACACAAGGTTTAAGTTAGTTTGCCAGAACTCTGTCTGTGAACAAATCTTTGTTCATAATTTGATTTGCCTCTCTCACTGCCTTGTTCATTCTGTCAAAATGACATCCTCCCTGACCTTACTTTTGTTCTTCATACCACATCCTATTGTTCTCCATTTATGAAACACGATTCTGGTGCAATGAGATTACCAGAAATATTGGGATCCATTTCACCTGATTGATGCTGAAGATAAAGCAATGTTTTTGCAAGGGTTGGAGAAGAAAGTTGAGAAAGAAAATGAGAAACTGTCTCATCTGCATCAGTGGATTCATTCAAACGTTGAAAACCTGGACTACAGAGTAGGTAATCTTCTCTACAACTCTGATTGTAAGTTTTCTCAGTATCTTTACATTCTCAGTTATCTCCCTTCCTCTTATTATTCAGATGGCGTCAGTGTGTATGATCCACCAGAAAAGATCATACCGAGATGGCGCTTGAATTCTTGAATTCATCTCAGCTTGAGAGTGGTGAATCCATGGACTTTGATAATAAGATCCATGAAATCAAGGCAATGGCTAGACGAACACGGGAGATAGAAGCTGGCATAGAACTTAATCAAAAGGAGAAGCACGACATTAACAAAGAAACGGGCGACGATGATGAAGATATAAGCATGTGGTCGCAGGACAGGCTTCCAGATGAGGTTTTGACACACAGTGAGGTTGATGATGATAAATATGAAAGCTTGGGGACTTCAACTGAAAGTGATCAAGAAAACATTGAGCAGTCGCTTGACAAGATATTTTGGCCATGGCAAGAATGTTGGGGCTAATTATGATGAATTCTGGTCGTGGGAAGAAGGGAGAGATTAAGGATAATCCTGTTTCTGTCAAGATCATCTCCACGGCTAAGGTATAAATCTCGATCTTGATCATCTAGTTTTTTTGTTTCCGCCCATAATGTGAATTTTTTTGTCGATTTCTCTGCATTATAGGACAGGATCGCCATCAAAGAATCTTAAGTCGATTGATGTTAGCCTTCTAGTCTCTGCCATAACCTTAGATTGCAAAATGTTAGCCTATTATTCTCTGCCATAACCTTAGATAACAGCTTCTATTTTCCTTGTGTAGGAACAATGCAAACGCCTGATGCTAGGCACATTGAACCGTTCCTGAATGAATGATACACCGATAGAAGCTGGGATTACAATCTTATTGGATCTCAGGTGCAGCTTGTGGAGCCATATTTTTGATCTTGTAGTCATGTAGTTTCTTCTTGTTCCCTAAATTTTTATCAGATACTTGGTGTCTATAGTCGACCACGTGTAAAAACAAAAAAGAGTAAATGTTTTGGAGTTTGGACTAGACAACATCAAAACATAAGAAAGAGACCTTAAGAAAGATAAGACAGATGGAGTTTGGACTAGACAACATTAAAACATAAGAAAGAGACCTTAAGAAAGATAAGACAGATGGAGTTTGGACTAGACAACATCAAAGCATAAGAAAGAGACCTTAAGAAAGAGAATCACTTAAGAAATTGGAAAGGAGGACACAAGTCCTCCCTCTTGGCTTTCACAATCCATCCCTTATAGCCATTCACGACCAAGACGTAGCAATGTTCGACCTTACCCTCATCCAGTTTCACCTCTTTTTGAAAAAGACTGAAGCTTGTTGATGCTTTAACCGCGTCTTCGAAGGTATTGAAGGTGTTGAATCCTAACTCTCCATAGATGCTTGTAATTGACTTCACCGTTTTCAGTCTCTTTGAGATGAGAGATGACAGTAAGGTTCCAACCATGTACACACCTTTCGCCTTCACGAAATCAAACTCTGCCTTCAACAGCTTTTCGTATGACTCAGACAACAAATCTGAGAGAGACATCACCAACGATTCATCATTTTTCTCTTGTTCACCTTGAAATTCCATTGCTTTCATGCATAGTGCCTCGAGAGTTACGGTTACATCTTTCATCATCTCCGCCGAACGAAGCTGGAGTCTTTTCTCTAACCGTGGAAACTTCTTCTCCATCACCTTGTTGATCCGGCCAAGGTTTGCAATTCTCTCCCTCTCCTCTCTCCACAATCTGCTTTTCTGGAATGCCGGATCATCCCCCGATCCTCCTCCTTTCGGGTTGGTGCTAAAGGAAGCACTAACCTAAAAAACCAAATAAACAAATTAGTAAAATTAACAAAACCAATTAACCAATTCATAAAATTAATAAAGCCAATTAACCGAGCTACACTATGTCAAGATACCCTGACACAAACAGAGGACAAACCTGAAAGAGAGTAGAATAGTTAGTCTAAAATTGAGAATGATGCAAGTACCAAGTGTTGGTAAAGGCTGCACATTAGTGAATGTGATGCGGGATCGTTTTACAGTTGGAGAAGCACATCTAGAGCTCAAGATTGGATGTGAATATAGCTGTAAACGGAATGTCTCAGGAACATCACAAGTCTTGTGCATGAGAGACAGAAATTTAAGGTTACTAGCGGTCAATCTCAAGCTGGTGACAAGCATTTGTTTTTCCAGGAAATTGGACAAGTAATTTGTGTCGAAAGTCTTCATAGCAAAAGGAGTTATGAGGCGTGTTCTGTTAGTTTAAACAGCGGTACAAGTTGGTTCAAAGATGAAGTGGTTAAGCAAATGGATGTAATTACAATCTAAGTGATTTAATGCATTGCTAACTAACTGGATGTTAGTTGAGATTGTGTTGCAGGTTTGAATCAAGACTTGTTTCAATATTGAAGCATGGATGATTCAGGTTTTCTGTATATGATTCAAGAAAAGTATGATCCCAAGTTCAGTGCACAAGAGGGGAATTAAAAGTCAACAAGAGAATCAAGTTTGCAGAAGTTTAAAGGAACAGTTTTCAATCACTGAATTAGGTTCATGGTGCGTAAAAGTAGCCATGGAAGATGACTGTGGGTGATTGGTTCCAAGTTTCAAAGAGAACAAGAAAAGTTCAATGCAGAAAAGGCTAACACAAGGCTGTGTCTAGCTCTGGTTTCATCGCTGAAACAGGGACAAGAATTGTTGATGACATAAGAAGATTTATCAAAATCTGAACCATGTTCAACATACTGTCAAAGTGCATTGAGGTTTTAAGCAGGGATTCAAGCTATGAGGGCGTCAAGAGGTACATTCTAGAGTAGTGTTCTAAGGAGATTTGGTAAATCCAAGAGTGTTCACACACAGGTGGAGATATTTCAAGTCTTAGACTGAAACAGCAAAAGAACTACTACCTCTGAGAATTGCAAGAAGAAAGTGCCTAATTATAATGCAATAAGAAGCATTTTGAATCCAAAGAAGGAAACTAGATTGGTTTTGATATTAGAAGTGGTTGTTTTGAGAAGTTTTTTGTGAGTATCCTGCTGAAAGAACATAAGTCGGCAATAAGTTACACAAAGACTCAAGAGAAGCAACCTGAAACTCTGTTTAAACAACAAGGGGAAGACAGTCAAGGTGTGAGAACACGAGTCAGTGGGAGATGGAGACACAAGGGATAGTGAGTCTCTCATCTACAGAAGAAGCTGAAAAGGAGGCTGAGAAGGTTGTTTACATAAAGAGGAAATGGTAATCATTTATTACTAGTAGTTTTTTTTTTTTGGTCGTGATTTATTACTAGTAGTTAATACATGTGTTTGTAATCAATCCTTATAAATGCAATGATTGGAAATTTGATGTTTATTTGATGCAACTGTTAAATATAAATTTTGTAATTATTTTGATACTAGACTAGTAAAAAAAATTGGACGTAAAATTTCGTATGCATGTACATGCGCATGTTTGGTGGATCAGGCCTGGGCATTCGGGTACCCGTTGGGGTTCGGTTCTTTTTTTTCGGGTATCGGGTCTATTCTGGTAGGGGTCGAGACCCATTCGGGTATTCTAAAAATTCGGTTCGGGTTCGATTCGGGTTCAGATCAGGTTTGGGTATTTTAATAAAAAAGCAAAATACCCAAAAATAACCAAAAATACCCGAAATATTTTCGGGTTCGGGTCGGGTTTGGGTTTTTTACTCGTATATACCCAAATCTAACCGAAATACCCGATTTCTCAAAAATACATTGGTTACTCTTTGCCCAAATATAACCAAAAATATCTAAAAATACTAAAATTACCCAAAAGAAAACTACATAATTAGTTACTTTTTAACCAAATATATCCAAATGTATCCGAATTACTCAAAAATATCTAGTATATTCGGATTTATGATTGTAATTTTAGGTATTTCGGATATTATAAGTATAAATATAACTAATATTTTTAGGTGTATATTTGTATTCGGTTCGGGTTCGGTTCGGGTTTTTTTCGGGTAGGGGTCTAGGATCCATTCGGGTATTTTTAAAAATCGGTTCGGGTTCAGTTCAGATATTTTTTCGGATTTTTTGGTTCGGATATTCGGTTCCGGGTATTTTGTCCAGGCCTAGGTGGATGTATTTGTTCTTATTGTATAAAGAATGAGAAGTGGCAACTGACTTTGTGTTCTTGTTACCCTTTACTGGAAAGACCAAGACAGGTGCACAAGTGGCAAATTCCCATTTGACATTGTCTCCCATTTTCATACCATTGACTTAACCATTTGCAACAGAGCATCAAGCTTCAGAGATTTCAATCCTCAAATGCTATCTCCGATTCATCAAACTCTTTGACTTAACCATTGGCAAGAGAGCATCAAGTTTCAGAGGCAACATCAACTGTGAGTGACCCCATGATCTCCTCTGATTCATCAAACTCCTTGACTTAACCATTAGCAACAGAGCATCAAGCTCCTCGACTTAACCATTAGCAAGAGAGCATCAAGTTTCAGAGATTCCAATCCTCCGATGCAACAGCGTTTACTTTACTTCAATAAAGAAATGGCAAAAAAACAAAGGAGAATGTACCTGTGCTTGCCAATTTGTAGACGGGCCAGAGAAAGAATGCCTAGCCAAACGGCCTAAACCCAATGCCTGAAAGATCAAACCCAAAAAAAAAATCAAATTGTGTATATTGGCCAAATCAAATTATAATGGGCTTTTAGTCTATTTAACAGGCTATTGATAGTTGAGTTAGAAAATGTTTTTGTGAAAATAGTTAGAAAATGTTTAGAAAACGTTTTAACAAAAATAATTACTTAGGGTTTCTCATATCACAGAAAAACATTAATGGATCAAATAACATAATCATTAAAGATCATAAATTTGGTTTGTTGTCCAAAATCCAAACAAAAAGACTCAGAAAAATACACAAATCCTAACATTTGTTATTTTAAAACAAAATAAAATAAAATAGCATGAAGCCAAAAAAAAATGAACAGTAACACAAAATAAATAAATATCATATACCTGAGAAGTTCTTCCGAATCCAAGACCATTTCCTTTTACCACCTATGAAAAATTAGCCAAACAAAAAAAGGTAAGAAACAATTCGAGTTAAGAAAATACTACTAGTTAAGATCTGACTTTTTGAAAATAACAAAAAGTTACGATTTTTTGAAAAGAGAACGTGACATGATTTTTCAAACCTCTAAAAACCCTTTCTTTTTTTTTCAAAAAGAAAACACAAACATTGAAGAAACCCTAGTTTTAACAATGAAAAGAACATCATAAAAAATATCAACTTTTTTTTGTTCTTGTTGCTATCTCATGTTTCTAGACATCTAAAACCACAAATTTCTTTGTTAGTTAACAATGAACATCTAAAACCCCGTGAAAGCTAATTTTTTTCAAAAGAAAACACATAACAGTGAAACCCCAAACCCTAGTTTAACAATGAAATTAAAAGAACATCATAAAAAATATCAACTTTTTTTTGTTCCTGTTGCTATCTCATGTTTCTAGACATCTAAAACCCCATGAAAGCTAAATTTTTTCAAAAGAAAACACATAACAGTGAAACCCCAAACCCTCGTTTAATAATGAAAAGAACATCATAAAAAATATCAACTTTTTTTGTTCATGTTGCTATCTCATGTTTCTAGACATCTAAAACCACAAATTTCTTTGTTAGTTAACAATGAACATCGTAAAACCCCATAAAACCTAAATTTTTTCAAAAGAAAACATATAACAGTGAGATCTAAAAAGTACCCAACACTTTTTTTGTTTCTCAGATTTCTAAAAACGCTAACCCCAAAAGTTTTTTCAAAGAAGAAATTAAAGCAAGATGGAGAGGTACGGTACATGGTTGAAAGCAAGTTTCACAAAGCTGTTCATCATCTTTTTCTCTCGCTGCTGTCTCTCTCTCCTCTCGCTCTCTCTTTCTTGCCTCTGTGACCCAAGCGTTCCCAAGGTGTTTGTCTTGTATATTGACCTCTGAGGTGTCAGAATTGAGAAATGATCTGTCTTCACAAAACAAAAAAAAAATTGACCTTTAGTAAGTAGTAAATAGATCACAATAATACCTTTTTAAAAAAAGGAAAGAAAAAACATTAATTAATGCAAACACACCTATTTAATATTATAGGAAATAGCAAAAACACATTGTAGGTGTTGTATATATTGTCAGTTAGTCATTTTTGCAAAAAAAGACTCATTAATAATACAAACCCATTTATTTCGCGATGGAAAGTATGAGTTTTAGAAAGTACGAGTTTAGAAAGCAAAGCAAAGTTGTATATGTTGTCAGTTAGTCTTTCTTGCATTGGTTAAATAATTCACATCTAAACAGTAATTACAATGTATTATAAGATTGTCGTTTGCTAATAAGCCGAGACGTAAATAAAGCACTGTTTTACTATCCTCACACGTAAAGTAAATAAATCCTATAAAAACGTTATGGGTTTCATTTTATAAGTGTGTGCCGTGATGAGAAGAGAAAAAAAAAACATAAGAAAAAAAATAAAATAACGGATATATTCTTCCTACGTGATGGACAAAATGGGTTTAACGAACGCACAAAGCAGAATTGTAGTTGTTTTTGTTTCTATCTTGGGTTTCCCATATATCTTTATACTTGCTCGTACCCCACACACAGAGGCTACACTCAACCTTTGTAACTTCTTCTTTTCTTTTCTGATTTTTTTTGTTTTTTTAAATCTCTATGAAAGCCAGCTATGTATACTCGAACTTTTAAAAACAACCTCTCCTGTGTGGTACAATTGCTTCCCGACGCGTGTCCTCTGAACTTCTTGTGTCAGCTAGCAGACCACGAATCTCTCTCCCTCTTTCTATATCTATCTAATGTGAAAGGAGACAAAAATCATATCCCTAATTAATATTTAAAAACTCGGTTCATAAACCTTTTGGATTTTTTCAGATAACGGTTCATTGTATCTCTTCAAAAATCATCCAATTACAAAACATAGGTCGTTTAATGAAACCAAAAGAATAAACACGTGGAAGAAAAGAGCAGATAACAGGGAGAGTGTGTGTTTGGAATGACTCCAAACAAGGTGGACAGAAGAGTTTTTTGACTGTTTGAGATTTTGATAGATGGAGAATAAGACGCAATCTTTCACCGCATGCAAATTCTGAGAATGCCCTTGATCGTCAAAGAGGATGGCAAGACAGCTCTAATAATATTAAAACTAGATCATAACCCGTGCTAGCACGGGTGTGAATTTTTTTTTAATAAAATTAAATTATAAAAGGTGTATTAAAAAGCAAATAATATAATAGAATCAAAATTATAAAATTTATGTCAAAGCATGTGTAATTTTATTTGTTAATAGGATTAAATGTTGTATTATATTTATTTATGTGGGAAAAATGTTTTCTTAATAAAAGATTAGATAATATTGTAATGTATATAAAAAATGTTGAGAGCTATATATAAAATTGGGCCAAGTTGGGTTCAATATTAAAGTTGCAAAATAAAAATAGGCCCAATCTTTAAGTAATCAACTTTGATTTTGTTTTAATAATAGCATAAATGATTTAAAAAACATAAAAAATAATGTTTTCGTTAAAAAAAAAAAAAGCAGAAAAACAAACGACCGCTACTGCTTCGTTTTCGATTTCTGATAATGGAGAGAAGTCGGAATCCTTGTAATAAACATCTTTCGACGATTTTGATTTCTAATTCTTCTTAATTGAGCTTTCCAGATTGATAAATGCATGTAATTTCATTCCTCTCAAACAATTTCGGAATTGAAGAATTCAAGAACTATAGTTCATCGATTATGTTCCGGATCAAT